GCTTCTATGGCAGTGTGGGGAATCAAACCTAGATTTCCTTCTGCGCCCTCGCTCAAGGCTGGCTCCTTGGTATGCCCAGGAGCTGAGGCTGATGAAACAAAGGATCAGACAGCTAGAGAGACAGTGGCGGCGTGCTCGCGACGAGGCAACAAGAGCATCTTATTGAACATTTATGAGGTCGTATGAGATGGCAGCAAAGGCTGTGAAGAGGGAGTTCTACGTAGCCACAATTGCATCTGCTAGCTCACACCCAGCACAATTGTATAGAACGATTCGGTCTTTAACAACTCTGCCACAGGGCAGACAAAATACTAGGGAATTGGATATAGGCTGTGAGGCTTTTGCGAACTATTTTCGAGCTATTTTGCAGATAAAGTCTTGTTGCTCCACCGCGACCTCCCGGCCACAGTTGAGACAGTGAGTGAACTTGAGGCTCCAAGCACATCTTCTGGTCCTATTCTGGATTATTTCAGTCCACTCAGCCTAGAGGAAGTTGACAGACTGATCTCAACAGTACGCCCAACCACATGCAGCCTTGACCCGTGCCCCTCCTGGCTAATTAAAGCTGGCCATGAGGGTTAGCGATGGTCCGTCCTCTCCTAAAGAAACCTTCTCTGGACCCGACCGAATTGGCCAACTATCGGCTGGTCTCCAATTTGCCCTATTTGGGCAAATTAATAGAGAGGGCGGTGGCGATACAGTTGCAGAGCTTTCTGGATGACACTTCCACACTGGATCCCTTCCAGTCCGGCTTCCGCCTGGGTCTTGGGACGGAGACAGCACTGGTCTCTGGTATTTTTGACCACTATTTGACAGTGTTGGACTGGATGGGCCATTGGCCTGATCCAACATTAGCTTATGACTGCCCAGAAGGCAATGAACCAAATAGGGCTAAGCTAAACCATATATATGAAAAAGTACAAATATTTATTAAGGTGTACACGTGTTAAAACTTTCCTGATTAAAAATTGCTTTGTCTAAAATCAGACTGTAAAAGCTTGTCTACTTTACATACAAATGATGGGTAAAAACTTTACAACCAAAGACCATACGCGTTTCGGTCCCTAAGGGCCTTCCTCAGTGGTCACTATTATCTAACCCAGAAGGCAACCCAGACTTTTCATTCCTTGGACTGCCCAGAAGGCAATTGCCCAGGAGGCAGAAGGCAACCCAGAGGCTGCAGCTGGTCCAAAATGTGGCAGCCTGATTAGTGTCAGGGGCTAGCCAACAGGAACATATCTCACCTATTTTAAAACAGCTATATTTGTCAAGAGAGATGGTCACCTCTGTATCAATCAACCTGGCAGTTTAAACACCAGCATTTGGCCCTGTGATAAGTTTAAAGCAATAGCCTGTTTCCTGATGTGCAATCCAAGTATTAAACAATAACGAACATTCCATATCAAGCGCTCACCATTCTTCCACTGTTCATGAGCCAAGATGAAAAGTATGAGATCACACATTGAATATCCAAGCCATCTGACTTAGCTACATCTTCTGCTGCCCAGTTTCACCAGGCAGCCCAGCCGGGAGTCCTTTATTTTTTAAAAGTGGCATGAGATTAGCAATGGTTTCCTATCACTAGACTCATGCTGCTTGAAAAAAATTAAAATGTGGGTGGGGGATTGGCCTATGAGGACAGGGCGGGTGGAAATCTGCGAGAATCTGTATACTATTGACTTACCTTCGGCTTGGAAGTGAAGCAAGGAAAACCACCACAAAACCACTCTCAGAAAACCTAGAGAAATGGTGAACAGAAAGCAAACTGAAAGCTGCGGGGAGGAAATGAAGTACTGAATTAAAAAGAAACCTGACGGACATACACAGTGAAAGCGAGGCAAAACACCCGTGCATAATAGGCTTTAATTTATGCCCCACTTTTCTCCCCATTGGGAAGAACAACACTGTGAGACAGGCTAGGCTGAGAGTCTATGACTGGCCCAAGGTTACCCAGCAAGCTTCTATGGCAGTGTGGGGAATCAAACCTAGATTTCCTTCTGCGCCCTCGCTCAAGGCTGGCTCCTTGGTATGCCCAGGAGCTGAGGCTGATGAAACAAAGGATCAGACAGCTAGAGAGACAGTGGCGGCGTGCTCGCGACGAGGCAACAAGAGCATCTTATTGAACATTTATGAGGTCGTATGAGATGGCAGCAAAGGCTGTGAAGAGGGAGTTCTACGTAGCCACAATTGCATCTGCTAGCTCACACCCAGCACAATTGTATAGAACGATTCGGTCTTTAACAACTCTGCCACAGGGCAGACAAAATACTAGGGAATTGGATATAGGCTGTGAGGCTTTTGCGAACTATTTTTCAGACAAAGTCTTGTTGCTCCGCCACGACCTCCTGGCCACACTTGAGACAGTGAGTGAACTTGATGCTCCATGCACATCTTCTGGTCCCATTCTGGATTATTTTGGTCCACTCAGCCTAGAGGAAGTTGACAGACTGATCTCAACAGTACGCCCAACCACATGCAGCCTTGACCCGTGCCCCTCCTGGCTAATTAAAGCTGGCCATGAGGGTTAGCGATGGTCCGTCCTCTCCTAAAGAAACCTTCTCTGGACCCGACCGAATTGGCCAACTATCGGCTGGTCTCCAATTTGCCCTATTTGGGCAAATTAATAGAGAGGGCGGTGGCGATACAGTTGCAGAGCTTTCTGGATGACACTTCCACACTGGATCCCTTCCAGTCCGGCTTCCGCCTGGGTCTTGGGACGGAGACAGCACTGGTCTCTGGTATTTTTGACCACTATTTGACAGTGTTGGACTGGATGGGCCATTGGCCTGATCCAACATTAGCTTATGACTGCCCAGAAGGCAATGAACCAAATAGGGCTAAGCTAAACCATATATATGAAAAAGTACAAATATTTATTAAGGTGTACACATGTTAAAACTTTCCTGATTAAAAATTGCTTTGTCTAAAATCAGACTGTAAAAGCTTGTCTACTTTACATACAAATGATGGGAGCCCTCAGCATCGTATTTGAGGGGAAAATGCTGTTTGCGATCATCACATTTCAGCTTTGTATCTCTTTGTAGCCTTGTGGTGGGGCTACTATAATATGCTTGGCTGCCCTTGAAGACAACCCTGAAACTGCACCTGGTTTAGAATGCAGCAGCCCATGTATTGTCAATGGCTAGCCAACAGGAACATATCTCACCTATTTTAAAACAGCTATATTTGTCAAGAGAGATGGTCACCTCTGTATCAATCAACCTGGCAGTTTAAACACCAGCATTTGGCCCTGTGATAAGTTTAAAGCAATAGCCTGTTTCCTGATGTGCAATCCAAGTATTAAACAATAACGAACATTCCATATCAAGCGCTCACCATTCTTCCACTGTTCTTGAGCCAAGATGAAAAGTATGAGATCACACTTTGAATATCCAAGCCATCTGACTTAGCTACACTCAGATGGAAAGGGGGAGTCCTGCTCTTATTTGAGAATCATCTTTTGGATCATGTTCTGTCTTGATTGGCTTATACTGGTCAGGGGGGTTCAGTGGTCCAGTTTTCCTGTAAAGGTAGCTTACACCCATCTGGCACAAGTTTTTCCAAGCATCAGGGCTAGGGACCATCTCGCTGCATCTCCAACTTGCTGCTTTGGTTCTTATGCTGATTTGAAGATGTTGTAACCTGCCTGCCTTCACATATGTATGTATATGTACCGGTAGGAAGATAGATTTTGTTCTTTTATTGCACCTGCTTATTCTTGCCTTATGGTTAAGGCTGAACCACTTTTTAAATCTTTTCAACAAAGCCTGTATGTTACACTTAGGGTTGCCAGGGGGATGCATCAGATGCAGATGTGCATCTGCTAAAATGGACATCAGTTTTAAACACCTACACGTGACTGTGTGGTCTTCTTAGTAACTATAAGGAAAAAAACTATTGCCAACCAGATCAGCAAATTTAGTATTTACCCATTATACCAATGTCATCTAAAGTAGTACTGGTTTTGAATGATGATATGGCTGGCTTGCTGAAGAGCTTTTTTGGCAAAAGGCATTTGGAACGGTATCCAGATGCTTATTCTTGGATTAATGCACACATTTTTCATTTGCCACTTCAATATGGCAGCTGCCTGAAGAAAGCTGACAACACTTACAGGAAGCTTATTGGAATCACAGCAGCTGGACATCTGCTCTTTAAAACAAACCCCTTTCACAAAATAATTTTCTTCATTACCATTCATGCGCAATAAAACATAATACTAATTCTGTGCTATGGCAATAGTATTATATCCCATCTGGCTGCATCGGTCCTATTCTGGCCCATAAAAATTAGATAACTATCCATAGGCAAAGTGAATGAGTCTTTAATGCTCAGTGCAACCCCTAGTGACAATGGGTGTCTAATTTTCATTTGCATTTAACATGGATCTGTAATGTCATTATTTATTCAAGTCACTTATACTAACTTTGGCTGAGATGTGCCCGGAAGCACATATGGTTAACATCAGTTTTGCTGAAAAGAACATCAGTAATTAAAAATGCAGTGCAGTATCTCAGATACAGCAGCCTCCAGAGCCTGGTACCCAAAAGGGCCTGTTTGAAATGCATGTTGGGGGGGGGGGGAGGTATTATAGAGGCTGACCTAAGCTATGCTTGCAAGGCTACAGCATTCAGTATGATTCTCACACATTATTCTTTAAGAAGCAGCATCTGGAGGCAAAATCCCATGATGTTGCCCTCTCCCCCAAGTAGGGAGGAGAGACAGTAGGAGGGAGAGGCGCTGTAGTACTAGGATTTGTAAGAGCGAAGGCTGGGATTAGCCTCAGGTAAAGCCGTACAACACCGTCCGCAGCAAAGTTAAGCAGACTTGTACTCTCATCTCCCATACGGGACTGTGGAGCAGCTTCCTCCTCAGCAAGCTTACAGCGCCGGGAGAAAGGGCGGGGTGGGGGCGCGTTGACTCAGCGAATCAAATTCGCTTTTGAAAGGGTGACTCTGCCCATCTTCTGAGGTCTGTTACACAAACAGGGGAGAGGCCATCGTGGGAGTGGTATGTAACCGAGGCGCACAGGCCAGCCTCCGCCCCGACTTCCGTGTGTGTTAGTAAAACGTCTGGCGTTCAGAAACAACAGAAAACGGCACAAAGAGTGGCCCTGGAAATCCAGTTGCGCGCTTTGTGGGGGGGAAGTTCAGCCTGCGAAAGGTAAGAAAACCACGGTGAGTCTCTCTCAGTGTAGCTTGGCCTCCTGCCGGCTCGAGTTCCAAAGCAGAACGTTCGGACGCTTCAGAATCTCCCACCAACAATTCCTGCTTTAGGAAGGAAAAGAGGAGCATTTGTTTGCGCAGAGCCCGAGCGATCGCAGCACACTTGGCTGTGCGGAGAAGAAATCAACACCACCCTGCATTTAGAATCATAGACTCACAGAGTTGGAAGGGGCCATACAGGCCATCTAGTCCAACCTCCTGCTCAGTGTAATATCATACCGTCTCACCCTGTATTGTGTGCCCAGTGACCTTTTGTTCTCCGTAGGGTTTCTGTGTGCCTTTAAACAGCTGTATGATGGGCAAAACATCAACTGCCTTGTTTCACCTGAAATGACAACGCATTTTTTTCTCCCTCTCCCAAAATACTAGAACTCCAGGGCAGTGTTCCCTCTAAGCTGAGTTAGTGTGAGCTAGCTCACAGTTTTTTAGCCTCCAGCTCACACATTTCTGTCTTAGCTCAGAAAGGATGGCTCCAGAGCAAACTAATTTATGCAGCAGCCAAAGTGCTTGCTCACAACTTTAATGCCAGTAGCACACAAAGTAGAATTCTTGCTCACAAGACTCCACAGCTTAGAGGGAGCATTGCTCCAGGGCATCCAATGAAACTGATGGGCAGTAGGTTCAGGACGGACAAATGGAGACACTACTTTACACAAAGAGTGATTAAAATGTGGAATTCACTGCCAGAGGATGTAGTGATGGCCACAGGAGTAAACAGCTTTAAAAGGGGATTAGATAGACGTATCCTCCATAAATATATCAGTGGCTGCTAGCCAATGCTCCCTCTAAGCTGTGGAGTCTTGTGAGCAAAAATTCTACTTTGTGAGCTCCTGGCATTAAAGTTGTGAGCGAGTGATTTGGCTGCTGCATAAATGAGTTTGCTCTGGAGCCATCCTTCCTGAGCTAAGGCAAAAATCTGTGATCCGGCAGCTAAAAAACTGTGAGCTAGCTCACACTAACTCAGCTTAGAGGGAACACTGCTGCTAGCCATGGTGACTGAGGGGAACCTCCACATTCAAAGGCACTAAGCCTTTGAATCCAAGAGCCAGGAGGTAACACCAGAGGAAGGTCTCGGCCTCTATGCTGAGCTGGCCACAGTGTGATATACAGGATGCTGAGCTAGATGGACCACTGGTCTGATCCAGCAGGGTTCTTCTTACATTCTTATGTTCTAATGGAAGGTGACAGCTTTACATGTTGGATTTCTGGCTTTCTTGCACTTGTTAAAGATAAGTTCCACCAAAAAGTCAGCAGCCCTGTTCTGAAGTCCAAGTGTATAGGAATGACCTATGCACTGTTCTATAACTGATTACCTTTCTTTCCAAGATGTGTTCTGAACATTCACACATGCCAGAATTCATTCTGAACTCTTTTGTTTCTTCCTCCTGGAGTGATTTATGGCAAAAAAAGGATGCCTGATGATCCCTGTAGTAAACTACTTGCAGTATAATAGACAAGTTATTTGGCTTTAATTTCTTAGGAGGTCCAAAGTGCCTGAACAAAAAGGCAACAAGCGGGCTTTGAATTTGAAGAATGAAGACTCTGATAAGCTCAGGGCGTGTCCACATGGCAATGTGACTCATGCATTGAATCATGAACTAAACTGGATATGTGAAAGGCCAGAAAGAGGCCTGTATTCTTTCCTAAAATTCAGATACTGCAAAACCTGTGCCCCTACTATGACTCCCTGATGTGCCCGTCCTGCGCACTGCTGCCAGCAACGTGGAGGAAAAATGGTTTCCATAACTCTGGAGGCTCTGGTCACATAATGAAAGTACATTTCTCAGAGTCAAAGGGAAGAAGGCAGATAAGAATGGGCTGGAGTTGCCAGTGCATATGAACTTTGAATGTTTACAGTGAATACACACACACGCACAGGTCTATACTGGTCCACAATTCTATCATATTTTAAATCAAGGCAGCTGATTTCTGGCAAATCTTTAGGTCTGAGATATTACTGGGCCTCACTTTTCTCAGGGAGCATTTCCACTGAGCTGACCATGTTTTAACTCTTGAATTGTCAGCCCAAGTTTCCTTTCACCCAAGTTCAGAAACTGCAATCCTTTGTGCCACATTTTCCAGTCTTGTAACTACATATAATGCCGCTATATTTTAAAACCCAATCATTGTTACCTCTTAAATCCCCAAAAGATACAATGTATCTTCATTTAGAAGATCCCTAAAATATTAATCCCAACACTGGCCCACCCTTTCTGAATAGATCACTTTTTAAAACACAGGTGTCGGTGATCTCATGTTGAAGAGGCTAAATGAATAAATGGATCACAGACCAGCATTTTAGGACACACACAACTTGCTTTCCGTGCTGCTTTTATAGTAACTGGAGAGTCCTGAGAAGCAGTGATACAGGGTCAATCAGACAAAACCAAGGTTTAATTAAACTAACTATGGCTAGTGTGCTTGTCTAAATGCAGGGAACTCCACTAATTGTGGTTGTTTAGGATCCATCAAGCCAGGCTGTCAAGTTGGTTTGTTTAACATTGTGAGTCTTAACCATGATTTCACAGGGTATATGAACATATTCTGGTTTGTTCCTTGGCAATGCCCTCCATGGCATGAAGGGCATTGTTGAGGCAAACCACGATTTGAATGATTGTCTGTTAGATGAATCCTGGTTTCACAAACTAACCATTATTAAACCATGGTTTTGTATGATGTCTGAACTGAACCACTGAGTGAAAGCTGGCATTGCACCCGAAGGGTAAAATACTAAACTTAAAGCTTCTGTAATCAAGGAAGAGAGATGCTATAAACTGCAATTAGGAAAATTTAAGTTTGTTTGTTTTGCTAACAGCGATTTTGGAAATGAATCTGCTGATCTACCCATTATGCCCCCAAAGGAACATTCTAAACACTTAACTGAATCTCATATAGTACCTACTGGGGATTATAACTGGCACACCATGTAAAACATTAAAATGTTTGTTGTGCCAAGAATTATATATAACATTTCGTTTACCCCACAAAGACAATTTATGAATATTCACTGTCACAACAATCACCACTATACCTAAATATCTTACATGTAATTTGTTAATTTGAAATGGCCTCTGACTGATGCACATATTCACTGGCATATCACTGAGGAAATTACCTCTGACTTCTTCCAATTTATCTAGAAGCTTTATAAAAGAGAAGATTACGACAGTAAATTTAATATGGTGGCTGTAGAGGCAATTTGGTTCTGATAAGATTAACAAAACAACATCCACATATGATTGTTGCTCCTTATTGTTTAAATTGTTGGTTGTTGTGAAAGGTGCACAGTCAAGTCTGATTATAGAGAAGTAGTTACAAGAGAGATTGCTGTATTGATTCACCCTCCCTGCTGCTACAAAATGGTTTCTATAATACCGTTTTACTGGAACTGCTTCAGGACCACAACAGAGGTAAATGTTGCAGCTGCATGGAACTCTTTCAGGAATCAAGAAAAGCTACTGGAAGGCCAGTCCATGTAATTACAATGCTCGCAGTCCTACATTTACATCACATACGGTTAAAAGGCATTATCAAAATTATTTTAGATCTTGCTTTGTCACAGAACCAGGAAAACTCCTTACGAGGGAGAAAGGCAAATATCCTGCAAGATCTCATAGGTTGTAATTCACAATCAAATTAAGTGGAAAGGTTTGGATTTAAGGAATATAAAAATGGTTTTAGTCCAATTCAGCTCAGATTAAACTGGTTTGTGGATCCGATTGTTAGGAAACCAAGGGAACAGAAACCCTGTTCCATTCTATGTTATAATGAAAGTAAAGGAACAGATTCCTCCTTTGAAATCACACTTCTTATTAGAAGATCTCCTGATGTTTTAAAAAGAGTGTGTCAGTTTTAACAATGACACAATAAAGAAAACTCATAGTTACTGACTATGGCTGAGAATATTTGCAGTAAAATTGTAAACAGAATTACCGCCCTTCTAAGCCTGTTGATTTTGATGGATTTAGAAAGGTGTAATACTGTTTAGGATTACATTATTGGTTACTTAGTTCTTTAATATTTGCTGTAAAATGAAACACCAAACATGCACTGTGGAAATAACTGACAGTTTTTACTTCTCAATTTTCAGTTTCAAAGGCACAGGAGTGATCCAGATTTGCTTAAACTGTCTGGTTAAGGATGTGGACTCATGCTCTTGGCTTCACAGCCTTGCCCCATCTTGGTGGGTTCCTTGGCTGGCTCATTACACGGAAGGAAGTGCCCACATGGTATGAAACTCTGAAGAAGCCTTCATGGCGGCCACCTAATAAAATATTCCCAGTCGCTTGGACTACACTGTACACGAGCATGGGGTAAGGCCTCCTGGAATCTACCTCATCTTCATCTAAGGCTGCAGTCCTAAACCCACTTTCTTGGATGTTTCATCAAGATATTACTTTTGATTAGGGATGCCACTCATTTTCTAAAAAATCATGGTTGAATAATTGTTTGAGTTATAATAAATTAATCAAATCTGCTTATATTTGCATAGAAATCAAATAATAGCCCAGAAGGGAAAATATTATCTTTTTGTATTCCAGTGATGCATGCACATGTGGCAGCATCTCAAAAGAGGCATCCCTCTCCTGTGTGACACATAAAGAAATATGCCTCATCTTAGGAGATTCTTGCCATGTGACACATCGAAAACAATTAACAATTTTTGACAGTTGCCTGATCAATCGTGGCAACTTTTTGACTGATAAAATGTTTATGTTTAATCACTAATTAACTAAGCATTCCATTTTTTAAAATCTTGATGTAATATAGGATCACTCTCCTATAGTCCTATGCATGTTATATGGTCGTAGACAAGATTCTGCATCCCATAAGGATATCACAGCTGTTTCTCCCCAGGAATTTAGCTACTCTAAATTCAGAACCTTCTGCCCTGTCCTTTTAGTACTGGTTTTCCTGGTATGTTCAAACTACTGGATCTTCCAATGATAACCCAATCAGATGTAACTCCTCTCACTGGGAGGTGTGTGTCTATAATACTGTTCTATAATACTGGGAGGGGGGGGTTGATGCTGTAACTTTCTTAGGGAACTGTGACCCAGCTCAGCTGTGAAAATACACTTTTACTTGCCAACCAAAACAAGGCTTTTAGCCCTTCAATGGAAGAGACAATAAACTTAACAGTTATTTTGTTAAAAGAAGCTGTATGTGTGAGTCCAAAGGGGAAGGGAGCCTCCAAAAATTGGTGCTGCCATCTCCAGATCCACTGGGTGAATTCAGCAAGTTACCCATCGCATCCCAATAGTTACATTTAGCCTTACTGACCACTCACAACCAGACATTTAAAAAACGCTACCCTTCAATCGGTGGGGATGTGGGATTCTGTTTGTGGGCTGAGGGGGAAGTTTAGGAGGGTGTGTGTGGGCTCTACTGTTGCTTTATACTAGACCAGCCCCCTTAAGTTGTCCAAGCTCCAGGACTACAGTTCCTGAGCAGCCCTCACAACAGGGAGAGAGAGAAATCAGCCACAACCATTGAGGGTGGTGGCAGGAAAGGGGGCTTAAAAAGGAACCCAGCCACCATGTTGTCCCGTTATTGCTGTTTCCTTTCCTTTTGCTGCTGCTTTGTCCCCTCAGTGGATTTTGTAAAAAATATTGTAATGCTGACCGGGATTGTTTGAGTTGTGAGGTCTGTACAAGCATAGATCTCCCTTCTCTGGTTTTGTTTTTGTTATTTAAAGAAAAAACATATAATTTTTTTTCAGATTTTTAACAAACCTAGGAATTTTGCTGGGTTTGCAGAAAAATTCCTTCTATCTGAACATAGCCTTATTACGCAGATTTTTTGATCTGCACTCTGGCCATTGTTCAGAAGTTGTTCTGTGTTCCTGTTCTTATTATTTAGCTGATATTGTTAGAAGTGATTTATCTTTTATATTTTTAATGTTTATCTTGGTTGTTGTGGTGGTACTAAGGTAAGCTACCTTAAAAGCAAGTATTGTAGGCTAAGAGCATAGCATCTAAATACCCAAATTAATAAAAGCAGACATTGTGACATCTGAAAGCCAAAAAACTGACTAGTTTCCCTTTCTGCAGCTATGCTTCATACCTGGTTTGGAGGGACCTTGACGGCTTCAGCAACAAAGCAGTTATCCCACTGGGCCTCTATGGAGCTCAGCTAGCCTTGAACTGGGCGTGGACTCCTATATTCTTTGGTGCTCATAACCTAAAACTGGTAACAGTACTCTTATTTTGCCTGTATTTCAGTTACTTTTGAGGATGTCTAGGCAGGCTGCCTAGGAATCTGTGGGAATCCTTGTATTCATTTTTATTTATATAGCATGCACGCATAGACTTCTGTGCCACACAGTGCAATCTTAAACAGAATCACATCATTCTAAGCCAGTTGACTTCAGTAGGTTTAGAAAGGCATAACTGTGTTTAGGATTGTGCTGCCAGAATATTCTGGGAGTTTTCCTCCAAACAGTTAAAACTCAGGAAGAGATTCTAGTTGTTAAGGACTAAGACTTTTTTATTCATCTTTCTCCCCTCAGCCCTTATTTTCATGTGTTTATTGCCAAAGGATACACAGAGGCCAAAACTGTTTCACAGAACAAAGAAAGTAAATTACATACATTTATGAGCATAATATATCCCAGTGATGATATTCAAGTTTTGTGGTTGCAGAATATGAAAGTCGCCAAAGCAAAGTACTCTAGGAACGACTAGAGTTAGGAGCTGTTCAGCCAAGCTGTGGCAAAAGACTTGCACTGTTTGTCTCTGCTTTGCGGGTGGGGCCTGCTAATGATATCAGTTCCCTGCAGTTGTCTTCCTTGGACTCTGGGCTTAACTGGCTGCCTTGAGAAGGATAGGAGTTAACAGTCTACTATATTAAGTGTTCTACTTTTTCAGTTAAGAATGGTGTCTGAGATAAACAGCTTTGAATGCCACACCTTGACCTAATCAGGAAGCAAATGCCAACTTTTCATTGTGAACTCATAATTCATTTATGGCTTATTAACCTGGAAAATATCAAAAGATTAATAGGAGATCTGGGGAAAGTGTATGTTGGATTTATGTTGCAAGTGCTGCATAAGAGAAAGCACAGGTGCTCTCAGATTACCCAGTGGCTAAAGTATAAAGTTCTCTAAGGAACAGTGGAAGGATCCTAACTTCACTAGCATATTAGTGGCAGGTGCACATGGAAGCCACATTGTAATCTGCTAACATGTTTATACAGGATTCAGAAATAATAGCTTTTCTAAGGTTGTTGCTAAAACTATTGTGTAATCCATCTTGGCTGCTCTGCTTGAGATTCTGACATCCAGACTCGCCCTTCTTAGACTATCTTTTCATGGCATAGGAACATTTCTGTAAGCTACCTTTCTGCCAGAAAACAGCACATGGGAGAAACAAATACACTAACACTGCCATCCTAAGTGTCAGACTCTTGAACAAACTTACTCTCAACAACACTTTCTTGGGAGTGATTTGTTTATTGAGAGATGAGGTTGTGTCAAGCTAAGACCATCTGTGTCAGAACTGACTGGTTCAGCAGTTC